AACACCGTTGTTTAAACTCGTAATCGGATTTTTAATTTTGATTGTTTGTTATTCATATATTGATTTTCAGTGGCTTCAAAATATTCAAAGCTCTTGTTTCAGAAACAATCTTTTTCGCACTCTTCAGAGCGAAAATTCCAATATTGGGGCCTGCTTTTGTCATTCTTCCAATAATTGTCCGAGCAATTAAATAATAAAATTGTGTTCACAATGGCACGCCATCAAGTGTTGCGTGTTGCGAGTTCGTTGAGCAAAGAATCGATTGGATAAACCGTCGGGACTTTAACATAGCATGTAGGAAATGAGTAGGGCAACGTTTAAATTATCAATAGATAAACACTCTAAAGGAAGGTGAAATTGTGCAATTGGGAAAAATATGGGGATAATTGGACAATAGAGAATTTGCAAAATGTGCAATCTCCAGATGACCGTTGAAGACGCTTAATGTTGTCTAACTCTGATCAATTCATTGTATCCCCAAAAAAATCAACATCAGCGTTTTCCTTAGCGTAAGCAAAAAACATCGGGAGCTAAATTTACTGCCCTTCTGGATATTTTCCCTTATTTTCCGAATCGTTTAACTTTGGAACAAAAGGGTTTCTTGTGTCTATAAAAGCAGGAAGATTAATTACTGGAAAAGACGCTTTTCGGAAAGTAAAGAAAATAGGGGATTTGGTATCGATAGCCTAGGTAATCTGGATAGGAAATACGGTTCACGCTTATTCAAACTTTCCAGTCATGCACGAGAGGGCGCATTTAAAAAGCATTTTCCTTCTCGTTTAAAACTTTTTCTTTTTTACTTGCATTACTTCCTCAAGAGTTGCCCTGATTATTTGTGTTGGTTTTGTCTCACTGATTTTAGTCCGGAAAGTTTTGTACGCATCACATACTTTCATAAATGCCAACCATAGTTAAATATTACACACGAGATGTCGCATATAAAATATTATTATGTGATACTGTTGGATAATGTTCTAATTTAAGCTTAGCATTTCTAAAATGGAAAATAGCCAAAAATCTGTAAGGGTGATCCAGAAAAATAATCCTTTCATATCTGTAACGATTTGGGCTTAAAAGGTTCGTTGCGTCAACCCTACCCCATATACGTACGTATCAAGTTAATCCTCGAAATTAAAAGTGAAACGGAAAAGGGGGATTAATCGGTTCAACCCGGCTTTAATAGATAGAGGCTGATTATGGATTATCCCGTTTGGGTTTCATCCCATGTATGAGTACTTCATTTTTTTTTATTTTGCTTTTGGCCAGGTTCCTTGTTTCATTAAAACATTAGTTAATCGAGCCTTGAAACAGGTAGAAATCAATATGCAGCTCAAATTGGAAGAGCTTAAACTGTTCGTTTACGAAACTAAACGTTTCGGC